TATAATATCACTATTATTATCTTTATCATTATCATTATCTTTATTATTTCCACTACTATTATTATCATTATTATCATTATTATTACCATTATTATTACTATTATTATTATTATTATTATTACGATCATTATCATTATCATTATCATTATTATCATTATCATTATAGTTATTAATGTCATTATTAATTTTATCATTATTACTATTATTATTATCATTATTATTATTATTATTATTATATTATTACTATTATAATTATTATCATTATTATTATTATTATCATTATTATTATTATTATCATTATCATTATTATTATTATTATTATTATTATCATTATAATTATCATCATTATCGTTAATATTGTCATCACCATTGCCTGTATTATCATTATCATTATCATTATTATTATTATTATCAACTATGGAAATTAAAAATTAAAAACTAAATTATTATTATAATTATTATTATTATTATTATTATTATTATTATTATTATTATTATTATTATTATCCGTAATATCCTTATTACCATCATATATCTTTCTCTGCTCCTCAATTTCTTTCCTTTCTCCTTCTTATTTTTTTCTTCTTCTCCTGCTTTTCCTCTTCTTCTTCCTCCTCCTCCTCCTTTCCTTCGCTTTCTTTTTCTCTTTCTCCTCCCCCTCTTCTTTCTTCTATCCTCCTCCTCCCCCTCTAACCCCACTCCTTCTATGCTTTCTCCTACTTCGTCTTCATCTTCTGCCTTCTCCTCCTTTTTCCTTCCTTCTTCCTTCTTTTTTCCTTCTTCTTTCTTCTTCTGCTTCCTCCTCCTCCTTGTACTTATTATTATTATTATTATTATTATTATTCCTTCGCCTCCCTCCTCCTTCCTCCCCCTTCCTCCTTCTTTTTCTTCTTCTTCTTCTTCATTCCTCTTCTTCCTTCTTCTCCTTCCTCCTTCTTCGCCCCCAAAGCACGGTACTCCTCCAGGCATCCCCATTAACCCATACTTCCGGGCCAAAGCGAGAGTCACTCGAAGGTAAATTGGCGTGAAAAGGCGCAGACTTTCTTTCCCGGTTGGAAATCAGACATTAACATATAGGCGGGGTTGTATTTCGTTATTAGGAATACTGTGTCATTTATTTTGCTTTATTGTATGGATATTGTAATTTCCTTTTGCTTTCGGTGTTTTCTTTTAGTCAAATACGTTGTTAGCGGATTCGTGTTTCGTTATTTGGAGCACTATGTTATATATTTTGTTGCGTTGTGTTTCCTCGTATATTTATCATTACCATTTTCTTTTAGTGTTTTCTCTCAATGAATTGTGTCGTTAACTTGCATTCGGGTTTGTATTTCGATATTAGTAATATCGTGTAATTAATTTGTTTTTTTGTATTGTTTCATATTATATTCGGGTCTTTAGCATTTCCTTCCAGTATACTACGTCATTCATAAAGAGTCGGGTCTGTATTTCGTTGTTAGTAATATCCTGTAATTCATTGTATTCTATTGCACTGTTTTATAATTTTCCTCGTACATTTTCTTTTTATTTCCTCTCTATAAACCACGTCAGATTATGAGGCGGGGAAGGATGATGAGGCGGTATATAAATTTAGAGTAACTTTGTGGAGCCCGAAGTAATGATGGTGTATAAGGTTTCTTATATGAAGCTAAAGTTACGAGTTAGTGAGATTCGGTAACGTGTCTTGGACATAAGAACACAGCGACGTACCATAATGTTTTAGAGTAACGAGGGTGACTTAAAAGTGATCTATAAGAATCGGGTGTGAGATTAATGAAACGGCGAGGAATAATAACAAGGTGTATTAATTTCAGACAGTGAAGCATGATGATATAGCGACGAAGACAGATTCGTAAATGCCGATTATGCGTAACATGCGTACACCAGGAAATGATATGCGTAATGAACTTAACTATCGACGTGTGGGACAGCAGGGAGATGTAGAATGATCGAGAAAGATTGATTCAGATATCATGTCGTGATTTAACGATACTGAGATAAATCGTATGTAGATACACACTGCGCTTTCGAAAGCGATTCTGAATTATTGAATTTAATCTTCATACGAATAAGATGTGTACTCCATGGCGGGAACAGAAGTCGGCTCTTGAATCTTAAACCTGTGATTTCCGGCATGTTGTAAACGAAACGTCTTCTGTTCTCCTAGTACTTTAAAATTAATGTTAAGTTTTCATATAGCTAAAGAATTCTAATAAAACAATAACACAAATAAATCAGGATCATATCCACAAGTCCTTTGGTGTGAGGAATGCATCAAAGAGGCGACATTACCCCCCACGTTGCCCGGCGAGGTTGGCAGCACTCAAACCCCGCCCCGTAGCTCCACCCCTTTTACACTCCACCGCCCAATCACAAGCCCCCATCTCCATATCAAAGGCGCCGCGGAAGGTGACCACCAATAAGGAGGCGGTCCATGGGCGGAGTCTGAGGACCCAAAAACTGGAGGCCGAAGTGTACCGCCTTGTAGTGTGACACCTGAGTTTGTGGGTGGCAGAGGAACAGGAACAGTGTCTTGTATTTGACCGAGGTGTTCGGTGATCGGAAGTGTTCGGCGGAGACTTTGACTTGCCTATTCGGGAGTGCCAGGAGAGGCTTTATAAATTTTCGTCGGAGTGCTGCAAGTGCTACAGGACAATATGACTATTAGACCTATATTCTCGGGATATCCCTTCCAGGGTAAGAATTTTTATCTTATTTGTTTGCTAGAATTTTTTTTTAGTTGCTTACTTATAAATAATAACTTTAAAAAATACTAAACCACTCCCTCTAATGGAATTTGTGTTAGAGATTCACAAACATCAGTAATTCAACAGTAGGGAAATATATATAGCAAATACATTCCACGCTAACCAGTGTTCATACAATAACTACTATGATCAGAGATCTGTCATGCATTGCAAATCACTACCGATGTCAATCCGCAGTCACTGAGGATTGCAACAATAGATAAATTTGACGATTGCATGCGGACACTTGCCGCTGTAGCTCATAATTTGCAACAGGCGGACAGCCGTCGCGCTGCGTTTCCGCTCGCGGGCGACTCGGTCGGCGGCTCTCGGCGGCGATGTCGGGATCCGCCGCCGAATTGCTGCTAATCATGTTGATCAATCCGTCATCGGCCTGGGAGTCGTCACGCGGCCGGACATGACCGCTCGCGGAACACGGCCATCAGGGAGCAACAGGAAGCGGCCGGGAAGGGAGGGAGCGGGATTGAGTCATTATGATCGGAGGCAATTAGGCCACGACAGACCCTGGCGTGGAAATGCTAAGCTGTTATCATCAATGCCGTGATCTCTGTTTTTTGGCTGGTCTTTACCGGTGACACGAAAATTATTTAGAATTTAGATTCCTTGTTTGATGAAGTCAGTGATTGCAGACTATTATCGTGTATTAACTGTGATCGTGGAATATATATGCTATATATTTTATTTTTGTTAAATTCTGAATTGACATGTTTATTAGTATTATTGTCGATATAATCCTTATGAAATGAGATATTTCCTAACACTCAAAATAGCTGGTGGTGTTTGCACAGGCCAGGGCCGCGTGAACCAGCTGGGCGGCGTGTTCATCAACGGGCGGCCGCTGCCCAACCACATCCGCCTCAAGATCGTGGAGATGGCGGCGGCGGGCGTGCGCCCCTGCGTGATCTCGCGGCAGCTCCGCGTGTCCCACGGCTGCGTCTCCAAGATCCTCAACCGGTACCAGGAGACCGGCTCCATCCGGCCCGGCGTCATCGGCGGGTCCAAGCCTAAGGTAACCACGCCCGACGTCGAGAAAAAGATCGACGACTATAAAAAGGACAATCCCGGCGTGTTTTCGTGGGAGATCAGAGACAGGCTTATCAAGGTAAAGTGTCTCGCGGGGCAGGGAAGACACACCGAGGGCGGGGCTGCAGCTGTAGCATTTGCACGGGGGGTGTTATCAGATTAAAACTAATTGGTTTAGTTTCATGAACAAGGAAAGTGTAGTTCATCTGAAGAAAATAAATTTATATTTGCTTCTCACCTTTGCTGGCACTGATAGTGATTATGTTGATGATTTTAGTACTGGTATTATTTTTGTTTGAATAATTTAGGTCTCATTATCATTTTAATTTCATGATTTTGGTTGTAATTATTTTGTAATTATTATCATTTTCATTATTACCAATATCAAAACCAATCATCGTTATCTTTATTATTATATTCATTAGTGTACTATTAACACTTTACGATCAATTGGCATCTGCAGTAACTTTAAGAATATATTTATAAGAAATTAATATCTTCCAAACCTGACACAAATTAAGGGGGGGGGAGGTCAATTAGGAGGCACTTGTGCTGATGAGCTTAAGCACTTCATCCAGTTAATCATCCAGGAGGTCAGGTCATTCTAGGTCAATTGGGCGGAGCGCCGCTGGTCACTGGTTTCAGATCATTTGGCTCCAGAGATTTAGCTATGTGTACAAGTGCACATATTCATTACTGTGGAATGGAAACTGCATTATGGGTTTCATCCTCATATGAGTTTTTACTTGATATACATATGTGTGTGTGTGTGGATAAATATATACAAATATATATATATATATATATATATATATATATATATAATATATATATATATATATATATATATATATATATATATATATATATAATATATATATATATTATATATATATATATATATATATATTATATATATATATATATATATATATATATAATATATATATATATATATAATATATATATACATATATATATATATATATATATATATATATATATAGAGAGAGAGAGAGAGAGAGAGAGAGAGAGAGAGAGAGAGAGAGACCGAGAGAGAGAGAGAGAGAGAGAGGGAGAATGAGGATGAGAGAGAGAGAGAGTAGGAGGAGAAGAGATAATCTGCAATGATAGGAGGCGGGCAACCTGTCGCCTCGCTCAGGCAGGCCGCTGGAGGCTTCTCCGCGCGCCCTGATCGACGTCAGGCCTCGATCGTAGAGCCTGCGACTCCTACTGCGTTTATTGATATTGGTTCGACGATGTTCTTGGCGATAAAGACGTCGGTAGCATCGAGGCAGCGATGATTATGATAATAACAATAATCAGGGGTAATATTGGAGGCTAGTAAATTGTCCGCTGTGTTGATACTCTCACGGGAAATGATACCAAAGTACCGGGTTATATTTCTAGATATTGCTGATATTAAAACCGACTCGGAAGTTCATTCCACGAGGCTCTCCGTATGTATCTGTGCGTGCGTATGTAAGTGTGTGTGTGTGAGTGATTTTGACAGACAGGCGGCCGGGCTGCAGATGCCCCTCTTCCACCGAAAGCCAATTTGGAAAACTAGGGATTGACTCGGATTAAGAAGTCAAGTTGGCCAGCGGTGCGTCGGTGGGCTTGGGTGGGTGGGTGGGTCGAGGGGGGGGGTCACCGACAGAGATGCTGGAGATAAAGAAATCCGCGTCGATCTCGCTGACTTCTGGCGCGCCTGAACACGAGGATCAGGGGAGGGGGCGGTGTTTTCTTCTTCCTCTTCTTTTTCTCTTTCTTGTTTTTCTCTTCACCCTCCTTCTTTTCCTCCTCCGCCTTATTCTTTTTTTTCCTTCTACTCTTCTTCCTCCCTTTTCTTTTCCTTCAAATTCTTATTCTTCTCCTTCTGCCTGTTCTTCTTCTTCTTCATGTCCGTCTCTTTCCTCTTCTTATTCTCCTTCTCCATCTTCTTCCTTTTCTCCCTTCTCTTCCTCCGGGCTCGCCATCCGCCAAGACCGCATGGGAGTCCCCAGGCACTCCTGCGGCCTCCTTCATCGCCGCTCCGGGAGGGGGAAGGAGGAAAGGGGGAGAGGGGGGTACATTAGCGCTATCAGAGGATTAATCTCTTCTTACAATTATCAGCATTGTCGATAATCCCTTATCCCGGGGCGGCGGGCGCGGGCGTGAGGCGATCCGCGCGGCCGGGTGGGCGGGGGAGCTGTCATGCCCACGTCAGCCGCGACAAAGCGTCGGCGAGTGAATCCGCCCTCATTTGGGGAGGCTAATGGGGGGGGGGGGAGATCCTTCGGAAAATAAACAACCTGGGAGGCCTCGGCGTTGGTCGGTGGCGGCTCGAGGTTGCTGCAGAAGTGGGTTGTTTCAGGGGGGGGGGGGGGGGGGGGGTGATTAAATTATCTGATAAAAAAATATGCGCTGATATAATACGAGTAAAAAAAAAAATCATATCTGATTTTAGGCATTTGTTTGTGTTATGGTCAAAATATAATTTACTGATTTTTAGTTATCGTGATTCTAACAGCACTTTTTCTTCTTCTCCAGGAGGGAATCGTGGACAAGATGTCAGCGCCCTCCGTCAGCTCCATCAGCCGCATCCTGCGTGGCGGAAGGAGAGACGACGACCCCAGGAAGGACCACAGCATCGACGGCATCCTCGGTAAGTACCTTCAGTATTCCCTTCGTCTTTTGAAACATACACAACATTCACAAACATTTACACCACACTAAGCTAATCTACAGACATCAATGAAAGTATAGATACGGATTTAAACATCCTTATGCACTTATATTCACACACTTTCACTACACAACCGCGAGAATCGGCGCCGGACTCCCCTGCGACGCTCCCGGCCGTCCCGTCGCCGCCTCCGCTGGCTCCTCCGCCGCCGAGTCGCGTGACGAAGGCTTTCCCGCGGTCAAACATTTTATCTGGCAAATTCCGGGCGGCGCGCACGAAACACGGCATAATCACGCCATTGGCCTTTGACCGAGCAACATTAACCTTTCCGATTGCTGTGCATTATGTCGCTTTTCGGATGCTCCCTATAGCGAAAGCGAAATATAGCGATCGGGATGGAATCCAGGCGTAATTGCGGAGACAAAATTGATACGAGGCGGATCTGATCTTCCTTTCCTCCGATGGCTCGCGGTTCGGATTCTCTTCCCACGCTTTTATGTTGAGGGAAAAATATTCCAAAATATGCACGTTTCTTCATTGTTTGATTAATCTTAAAAGATAATGTACGATATTGTCCCTCATTATTAATATATTTTTCGTATCAAGTCTCACGGCGATTTACGAGAAAAAAATCCTTTTCCTATTAGAATCATGCTGCAAGTCTCTAGTAAATCATAAAAAAAATATGTTTGGATATCAAAGAAAAAATATACTTGATGATGAATCATCGAACTGATGGGTTAATAAATTTACAATAGGTGTCCATTCGAGAGAGAGAGAGAGAGAGAGAGAGAGAGAGAGAGAGAGAGAGAGAGAGAGAGAGAGAGAGAGAGAGAGAGAGAGAGAGAGAGAGGGCCGGGCAGCTCGCAAGGGACCTTCTGGAGGGACCACCGCGCCGAGGGCCACATCCAGCTCGCCGCTCCGTTGGTGTTCCTGCAGTAAATGTGTCTTCGCGGTGAAATAAGAATGTTTGGCGATGTAAAGCAAAGGAGACGTTAATAGTTTCACGATTTCGCCATTATGTGTGTCGGGAGGAGGGAGGGGGTAGGGGAGTGAGGGTGGGGCAGGGGGAGGGAAGGGAGGGTGAAGCGGAGGGAATAGGGGGGGGGGAGGGAATGGAGGAAGAAGAGGATTGAAGGGGGGGGAGGGGGGGATCAGGGGGAGAAGGAAGGGAGAAAGTAAGATTTAAGATCATGTTCATTCGGGGAATTTATTTGATTTTCACTTAATTGTGACACAGATAATACTGATAGAAACTAGTGATTATAGGGAAAAAAATAAATGATCATATTTTCTTTCGCTTCGGAAATAATGCTTTCAGATTATTCGTAAGACATAATCATTTTATAACGAAGACTTAACTATCGAGCTTTAATATACTTCACTCTCATAACGTAGTATAACCGCGCATACTCAAATGCACAGACAACATTCTCACTAGCCTGGGAAACCAAAACATAACTCGCTCAAAATTTCATAGTAAAATAAAACAAGGGATAAAAAAGAAGGAGAAAAAAAAAGCGGCGTGGTGGAGACTCCTTACTTCCCGCTGGGTTAACAGAATCCACATGCGGGTATCTCGGGTCTCGGGTACTATTAGTTACTTCATTAATGGGCGTCCCGTGAAGGCGGCCCACCCACCCACACGCCCGCGCACCAAGGTATTCTCTGTGGTGGGGAGAGAGAGGAGAGAGGGAGGGAGAGAGAGAGAGAGAGAGAGAGAGAGAGAGAGAGAGAGAGAGCGAGAGTTAAAACCAACAACTTTAGAAGGAAAGAAACGGCAAAAAAAGTTGAGCAGTGTTTCCTAAATACAGATGGACTTTGCGAAAGGAGAAAAACCAAGCGCTCTCCGACAGGCGACTCAACGAGGCGGGATTCACACCTTTATGAGGCGCACAAAGGGGGATTCAATACTCCTTAACCATTATTATGTAGCTTAATGCGATGGTTTCGCTCTTTTGTACAGAAATGAAAACGAGAAGCTCCAGAAGCCGTGTTTTCATCCGAAACAATGACTTGCCAAAACCAAAGGCCTTATCTGAAACTGTTCGCGGCGACTTCGGATCAACCGAATCTCAATATGAGTTTATTCGTTAACTATTTATCCACCAAATATGATTCTCAATACGATAAAAATAAATAAATAATTGATTATAGTCTGTATAATATCATATACATGATATCCTAAGTTATATAAGTTTAATGTGGAAGTTCTATGCCTGGTATTCGAACACATCTACCTTTACGGGACAGAAGTGGCGGTAATGAATGAATTGGCAACATTTTAAATCGCATTTGTGAAATTTCGAAAACAGTTTCCAGATTTTCCATAAAGAAAATGGGAACAATGTATATCAGACTGAGAATAGAACAAGGATATTGTTCGTTTGTGTTACCTACGGGAAAACACCACAAAAGGAGGCGTAATGATTTTACTCAACACTTTACACTGAATTACACAATACTTATTGTTCACTGTCGACCAAGCCGCAAGCGCTCGCCCTCGACTGACATGCTCCTTCCCCCACAGGCGGCGCCGGCTCGGACGAGAGCGACACGGAGAGCGAGCCCGGGATTCCGCTCAAGAGGAAGCAGAGGCGCTCCCGCACCACCTTCACCGCCGAGCAGCTCGAGGTCCTTGAGAGATCCTTCGAGAAGACTCAGTACCCGGACGTCTACACGAGGGAGGAGGTGGCCCAGAAGTGAGTATCGCTGATCGCTTTTTTCATGACTTCGTATTGGCTTTGTGTCGTATCCTCTTTATATTATTTTCGCGAAAGACGAAAGGAATGTGGCTCTAACCTATACCTTCTGCTCCTCAAGGGCCAAGCTGACCGAAGCCCGCGTCCAGGTGTGGTTCAGCAATCGCAGAGCGCGCCTGCGCAAGCACCTCAGCAGCCAGCAGCTGGCCGGCCTGTCGTCCTCCTCCATGCCCACGCCCGCCGCCGTGCCCACCGCCACGGCCGCCGCCGCCGCCTCCACCTACATGAACCAGTACGCGCCGCCCGCGGCCGCGGACCACACTGCAGTCGCTGCTGCTGCCTATCACTGTAAGTTTATTGTCTCTCCTGAGTTGTGCGCCTTAATTACATGGGCTTCTCTTGTTATTATTATGATGATCGCCATTTCGATCATTAATCTCAGTGTAACTAATTCGACCGCCTTGCCCCGCAGCGAGCAGCGCCTGGCAGAACACGACCGGCTACGACTACCCCGGCGCCGCCGCCTTCACCGCCGAGAACTCCCACGCCCTCATGTCGTCTCCCATGGCTGCCATGACGTACCCTGTGACTTCCTCCATGCCCTCCACCATGGGCGCTGCCATGACACCCGCCATGAACACGACCATGACGGCCACCACCACGCCGGGCACCAACGAGGCGGTCAGCTGGCCCGTCCAGACCAAGAGCATGCCCTCGCCGCCCATGGCCGGCTGGAACACTGGCTTCTCCACGCTGGGCACCGCCGACCAGCTGGGCATGAGCGGGCTCTTGGGTACGCAGGGGTACAACATGGGCCATGCCATGGCCGCCCCCGCTCCGCC